GGGGGGAAAAAAGAGGGGTTGGATAAAGTCAGCATGCAACATTTTGCTTCCAACTGCTCCATAAATAACCTGCTTTGAAACCCCGATCAGATACGAAGCCTATCGACTACTTGCCATGCAGCAGATACTATGCTATCAGAGTTTCAGGTCTTTGCCTGTGACAACAAATGAAGCACTGATGTATTTCACTTCTCGATCGCAGAGTTTATAGTAGATATTGGTAGTGTAAGTGATACCTCTTGCAAGATGTCGATCTTCATGTGGCTTTCGGTTCAAGACAATGTCACTTCCAGACAATGTCTCCCATGAATCTTAGGGCAGGAACTCCTCTAATTTCTACATCAACCAGTGGTGCTTGGATTAACTTCAAGCCCATGAGCTCTGCATCATTTTGGATCATTTCAAGGGCTCGCATTTGATCCTACAAGAAAAATTCAAACACAAAATAGTTAATATTGTTTACTAAAAATAGCACCCAAATGGCAAGTAAAAAGATGGATGACATGATAATAGTGGCTCGATACCAAGTTTTTTATTAGCTTAAACAGTGTAGTTTCTGGCAAAAGTCTAAAAGCAGATGTAAAGAAACATACAAACAAAAGAACATGACGACTCTAGAAAACAGAAAACTACTCTGTTTTCTAGAGTAATAGCTTATCCATTACTGCAAGTAATGGCTTATCCCTCGATGTATGATAACTGCAAGTAATGGCTTATCCATTAGTTGCAGTAAGGGATAAGCCATTCCTTTTTTAATCTACTCTAGAAATGGATAAGCCATTACTCTAGAAAACAGAGTAGTTTTCTAGAGTCATCGTGCTATTTTGTTTTGTATGTTTCTATACATCTGCTTTTAGACTTTTGTCAGAAACTACTCTGTTTAAGCTAATAAAAAGTAATGGCTTATCCCTCTATATATGATAACTGCAAGTAATGGCTTATCCCTAGATCTATGATATGGAGGGATAAGAAAATATTACTATTTGAAACTGTGGTATACCTTCCTTTTCATTGCACAAAACTTGCAGTCACTTGAAGATGGTGGTAGAACCTGATTAACGATGAGCCTCTTTACAGGCACATTTTCTTTCTTCAAGGAAGAATGCAGTCTTGACGACTCACTAACAGCCATTACCTTTCATAACACATATTCAAATTATTCAGAATTTGCAGATTCCTCAAAAAGGTATACCGAGTCACATGACACAAGCAAGGCTGGCTAGAGATGCAGGACAAGCACAGCATTTCTTACTTCATTTTAACATAAAACCTTACAGTTGGAATTGTAACAATAACGAATTCAGTTGATTCTGCATCACGGAAAAGCTCCCTCACTTTGACCATCCTCTCCCTTAGTTGCTCTAGTTTATCAGACTACATAGCCAAAAAAAAAAGAGGTCATATTAGAAGCAGTTAATAGTTTTTTATTTTTCTTTTTTGTTTGAGGGGGAAGGGGAGCCACAAACTTACAGCATCTTGTTTTGGTTCTTCTTGTCCAAAAACAGATTTAATGGCCGATGTTGCTGAAGCTAACTTCTGTTTCAGCTGGAAAAGCGAAAACCACAAATACAACATCACACAGATAGAACTATAAATTTCATGAAATATTAACTTTATTATTAATTGAACTTTAGTTTTGAAACAATTGGTATATAACATTTTACTACTGAGATAATATCTTCATAAGTGCAACTATAGAACTCCAACATGCCATCATCTGTTTCTGGTTTTCTTTTTTTCTTCTTTTCCTTGTGTACATTACATTCACATATATAACCATTAGACCCAAACCAGATATACTATCTTCATCATCTAATAGAGAAAGTGAACAACCAACGGAGAAATTAGATGACAAGCACAGCCATGGTCATGAGTCTAATACAGGAAACAAACTAACAACCATCTACTTATTCCCTCTAGACTACCACAACATATCAAGTACAATTATGAGAATTCAGGAAGAACTAACCAACATAACTTGGTAGGTTCATCCAATAGCAACACTAAAATTTTCATGATAGTCAAAAATAGATAATAGCTATAAAAAAAGCATCATATTAAGAAGTCAAACCTTCAAGATCTTGCCAATTGAAGCATCCAGGAAGTCTGGCAATGATAATAGTCTAAGAGTATGACCCTATTAGAAAATTAGATATCAAGTTTCTATACAATACACAAGGAACATAATAAAGCATTTTGCACTTTAATTGAGATTGCTTACTGTTGGAGCAGTATCAAAGACAATACGGCTGAACATATTGTACTCCTGTGCTTCAACAAATTGCATGACCTTAAACAAGGGTAAATAGATTTAGGAGCCCAAAGGTGTTCCAAAATTAGTAGCTAAAAACTTGTACAGAGTTATTCGCAAGCATACAATGTGGCATGATCAAATTATATACCTTTGAAATTGCAATAGCTTCATCTAGTCCAGGAGGAGGTGTGTCCAGCAATTCTCCTAGTTTTAGCTCTCCTAGCTTCATTGTAATTGGGCAAATAATAAGAAAATTCTAAGAGTCTACTTATTCATGAGGGAGTAAAATGATGAATACAGGAATACCTTCTTTAACCAACTGCAAACAAAATTAACAAAAGTTCAACCAGCTTCATGACAAGTCACAGGAGACCATTTTTTACTAGTCATAGTATGAATCTAAGCAAAAGAACTACTTAGATTGTCACTCAATGAAAAATATGATATCAGCTTCTGTATATCAATACCGTATAGCTCTAGCTTCCCTTAGACAGTTTTCAAGTGGAAGGGTCCTCAAAGATTTGGTTAACGTCCTTTGCAGTAAAAAAATGATATGGTCAATCTCAATGCATATTCATATGAGCAGAATTTACTTACAACATTATGGTTAAAGGTCCCATCATAAGTTATTCATGCGACTAAACTTGCCTTGGTCACACATTTGTGCCAATTTCTAACTGGTTCATGTCCAGGTCACTAATGGTCATAAAAATGTTTTCTAAGCTTTTATATGGAGGATTATCAAAATTTGTTTTTCCTCCATATAGAGAACAAAAAGGTGATATGCTTGCTAATTGATATAGTTTGCTAAAATTATTCAATGTATGCTACATAATCATATGAAGTCAACTTTTGGTTTGACATGATCCATAGTCGAAAATGCAAATGACATTAAATTCTATAACGTAACATGTGAGAGCATCAATAACAAGAGTAATTTGTTTGGGAAAATTGGACATATTAATGATGCTTTAGATGTATACCAAAAGAAAACAAGTTGCTATAAGTAACATACTTATATACATAAAGGCATTCTGATGTAGATAAACAAAATGGGAGTATTAAGGTAGTGGTCATACCTGTTCAACAAGCATTCCAAGACCCATACTGTCCATGAAATCTTTGACCCCTGTACCTCCACTCTTTTGACTTGCACTACGAAATTCCTCCCTTGCTTTCTCAGGATTTATCTGTAAAAAGAAATACTACTCTTTAAATCTATAACAAGTATGACGATAAAATGGCATAGAATTATGTCTAGGAACCAAGGAATTTTTTTGTTAAAATAACCCAAAAATGGAAAAGCAATTCACACAATTATGGGCTTACTTCCAGTGCAAACAATGGGGCATCCAGCCCATCCACAGGTACCAGTGTTCCTCCGCTCAAATCCTAGAGGTTGTTGGATACAAATACAATCAGATATTGTCGCACTAAATAAGTAAATACACTGATGATCTTAAACAGCATATATGCATTCCTTTTCCAAAAGGTTTAACTTTAAGGACAAGTTAGAATAAGTCTCACATGATGCACAACATTGGACTAATGATAGGGCACTAATGACTGTATACCTGTGCAAACGAGTCACTTAAGGAGTGAGCAGGATCTGTCGAGACAACTATGGTGGGATGACCATGATTTGCAAACTTAACAGCAAGGGATGCTGCACAGCTCGTCTTCCCAACACCACCTTTACCTCCAAGCATGTAGTACTTCCTCTTAGTGCCAGAAGCCATCTCCTCGAACTCTGCTACATCTCCAGCGGTACTAGTTATGGCTCTGACTGTAGAAAGCATAGAATTATATGAATGAGTTCTTCAAAATCTGATCTTTAGCTAAGTATTTATTCCATCGACCAGATTATACTGACTGAAACAATTCAATTTTCTTCAAGAAGCTATAGTGAGACTACTCGACTGAAAAAGATAGCGACAGCACAAAAGATCAGCGAGAAAAAGGACTAGGATGAAAAAAAGATGTGATCTTTAGCTCAATGGTCGGCACAACCTAGACCCAGGCACCGTATGTCTGTTAGCCGTAAACACAGATGCAGATATCTACAGTCAGGGAGACAACAAAGACCGAAAATTTCGACCTAGGAGACATAAAATCTCTTTCTTGCTCACGAAGAAACGCCATTTTCGATCGGACGCGGCAGAAAAAGAGAACAAAGGCAATAAGGAAGATAGGAAAGAGGAATTTCCGGCCTGAAGGGTGAGAAGCGAGACAAAACCTCGTAGGGAGCGACGAACGAAGAGGAAAGGTTGCACGCGGGAGACGGCGAACGAAGCGGCGGGAGACGGCGGCACGAGGCGAGAGGCCGCGAAGGAAAGGCTGCGAACCAGGTGGGGAGCCGGCGAGACTAACATGGTAACCCCCGGAAGAAGGAGAGACGATGAAGCAGCCACAGCAGCACTCGCCAAGCTTTGGCCTCGCCGCTTGCTATATCTCGAGGTCAGTAGATCCAAACCCGACCCAAACCCATATGGATCACGTCAGCCAAGCCCTATCGACCGTCAATCGGCCCATTAAACTGACTAATTAATTGGTCTTTTTTTTCTTTTAATGAATTTAATAAGTATTTTGAGAACAGTTCTTCTGAAAGAAAAAATAATTATTCTAAAAATAAATATATAAAATGGGATACTGTTAAACTAAATATGAAGAACAGATAGAGCTATCAAAGAGAAAAAGTAGGATAATATAAAATATTATATCTTTCAATCAAAACTCTTTACCACTTCAAAAATTCTATATGTTTCGTAACCTAACGAGGTTTATATAGAAAAAAATATTTTTGAAAATTAATAGTTGGTTTGTCCATTTGTGTTTCTCCTCCTAATGCAATGAACCTCTTGATACAATGAACCTTCTTTTTATGATACCTTAATAAGTTTAATTTTAATATTCTTCCCCCTTAAATTAATTTTATTTGATATACTAAATTTCTTTTGAAGTTATTGAAATATTTTAAATTTGAAAAGTTTTGTAAGTATATCGGTCACTTATTAATTTGTCTTTACATGAAGTAGCTCCATTTATTTATTTTTGACATGATTTCCTATATAATGAAATCTTGTATCGATATGCTTCCATCTTTTATGATAGATTGAATTTTTGGCTAAGGCAATAGTTACTTTATTATTAACATAAATCTTAGATGACTACACTACACTATGGGCATATAAAGTTATTGGAGTAATTTGGTTTAGTTATATTGTATGACAAACATAAGAAAATACTGCTATATATTATGCTTCACAATTGATAGAGCAATGACATATTATTTTTTTGAAGACCATATGAATATAGCTTCACCAAAATAAAATATAAATCCGATTGTACTCTTCCGATTATAGTAGTTTTCGACCCAATCACTATCATTATATCCAATAAGCTCTAATCTTTTAGATGATGAATACAATATTTCATACTTAATTGTACCTTTAATATATCATAAAATTCTTGGGAGCTTATATATATCTATTTATTAAACCAACTCTAAATAATATATGAAGTCGAGTGCATATCAAATACCTTAAACATCCAACTAGACTTTTATAATAAGTTAGATTAATATATTTACCTTCACCTTTTTTTTTATCAACTTAGGTATTGTATTGTATGTAGGGTAATAATCTTCTATGGAAAACTTCAATATAATCTCCGTTGCATAATTTTCTTATGAAATAAAAAAAAATTTATTATCTTGTATAACTTCAATATTGTGGAAATATGTCATTAGACCCAAGTCGATCAACTTAAACTCCTTCTTCATAAAAGTGTTTAAAATCTTTAATCATAGAGACATTATTATCTATAAAAAATTAAATCATCTATATACAAGTATACAAATAAGATATTTCTATCGAAGTTAAATTTCATATCGAGAGTATGCTCATGTGCACATTTAGAAAATTTATTTTGAATAAAATAAGCATCTATTCGAAAATTTCATACTCATAGGACTTTTTTAAGCCCATAAAGAGCTCTTTTTAATTTGTATACTTTATCTTCTTATTTATAAATAATAAAACCGGGGATTGTTAAACATATATATCTTGTTCAAGAATTTTATTAAAAAATACTGATTTGATATTCATTTATAAAAAAATTTATTTCAATTGAGCTACTAGGGAAATAAGTAATATTACTATATCCAATCAAGTAACTAGTGCGAATACTTCTTTTCTTTATATTCGATCTCATATTATTGTTTGTATCCCTTTGTAATCAATATTATTGTTTGTACTCCTTTGTAATCATTCTTATATTTCTTGACCTCCTTTTGTATATTTTTTTTATTTTAAAGATCCACTTAATACTGATCACTTGATGGTCTTATGTAAGTATAGTAAACTCCTATATATCATTTTCGAATCTCTTTATTCTTGTTGTCATTTTTCTTCTCTATAAACTTCTTCGAAGGTTAACGAATCATATTCTATAAAAAGATAAAATAAAGAAAGCTCATTTTTGTTAGTATCACCACTTCAAATCACATCATACAACTCTAGAAGTTTTAATGTCTCAAAATTTAAGTATATCTAGGATGTGATAACGCAGAAATGTCCTTAATATCAATTTTAAAATAATTTAACATATCACAAATGCATAAATACAAAGGAAACATTCTATTTTACGTTATTTTCAGATGTGAGATTAATGTTTTATTCTTTTCACTAATTTAAAGAATCATATCTTTCATAACTTTTTTCAAGTAATTGCCCTAAGCTTTGAATATTATTTTTCATATCAAAAGCATAATAAATATATAAAATACATAATTCTTTGCATAATATCTTATGCTCTTTTTGTCGGCTTTTGTTCATGAACTCGAAGAGAACTCATTAGTTATTCTAAAGATATTTGTTCCAAACCTTTAGACTCTTTAATCGCTATAATAATAAAATCAAACTTTGGATCTAGTAATCTTAGTAATTTTTTATATTGCTCTTTGGTCACTTATTTGTTTACAATTTCATCTCTGAATAATAAAAATGACCTTTAAGAAATAATCATAAATAGATTCAGAAATATCTTATTGTAATTTTTTAAACTCAGCTTATAAAATCGATAAACAAAGCTCATGAATAAAATTTTTTTCTTTCTTTTTTTTATTTTTGAGTTATTTTTTTGTTCATGTATTATATTCATTACTCCTTCTATACGATTTGGTTTAACAAATCAATTTTCTACAAACTCTCAAAAGAGCCTAAAATAACCTTTATTTGGATGTGTAATATATCATAATTTTCTTTTACCAATCGCTAGTTGAAACACTAAGAAAAAGTAAGGCAGACAAAATATTCTATCTTTGCAAATTTAAAACTCTTTAATTATATTTTAAATAAATCACTGTTTTTCAAAAAAATTCTTTCAAAAATAAATAATCAATGATTTATCCCTTCTAATTTCGTCTCGTGATCCGAAGAATCTCATAAACCTTTTTAGGTACCGTTTAATTCCAACAGACACAGCATAAGATACTCATTTACACTTCTTCGTGAAGGCTACCGAACGAGAGACGGCTTTCTGCTACTTCATCGGCGTCAAGGAAGCACGAGGCGACGAGGTCGCGTCCCCTGCCATCGTCCTCTTGCAATACGAAATGGCTTCCTCGAGTTTCTCATCTCGATCCTGGGACGGCATTTGGCTGTAACACCCGGCTCCGCTCGCCGGAAGGCTTCGCCCGGGCCTCCTTCCCGGTGGCTCCTCGTCCACCGTGGCCATCCAGCTCGCTCCGCCGTACGGCTTGCAGCGACCCCACCAGTGCCTGCCCAGGCTTCTCCTGACCGACCGCCAAAACCGCGGAAGCAGCGGCCTCGGCCTCGAGCGTCCCGGCGAGACGCTGCGGCTCGGAGGAGCGCAGGAGACGCTGATGGCGCCGAGCGAGGTGGCCCCGACGTCGATGACCCATGCGTCGAAGGAGATGTTGTAAGCTAGAGGGAGGTCTTCCATGGAGGACAAACAACACACAGAAGAAGAATGAAGAGAATCGATGCTCTGCATGGAGATGATTCGCAAGCTCATTTGAGAACGTTGGAGATCAATCAATCTATGGCATTATTTGGGCATTGACAGCCTCGCTCAATAAATGTTCTCTTGAAAGAAATTTCTCTCCCTCTCCCAAAAACAAAGATTTATATGCTATGAACAGTATGGTTTATGGATGTTTTGCTTATCTTAATATGTCGTTTGATTAGGATAATAGTAGCCAAGAAAGGTCCAAAATGAGCCCAAATTGAATGAATCGGATATATATATATATATATATATATATATATATATATATATCGTAAATATAAATTATATATGTAATTTCTCGGAATAATATATATATATTATAATTGATATTGCAATATAAACCATCAAGTCAAGATGGCCGAGTTGGTCTAAGGCGCCAGTTTCAGGTACTGGTCCGAAAGGGCATGGGTTCGAATCCCATTCTTGACAAAGGTTTTTTTTTTATTTTAAGCTAAATTGGATTTAGAGTAATGACACTGCCTAAAATATATTAGGAGTCTTTTTCTTAATTTGTTATTATTTTGTACACAAGAGAAAAGTATTAATTAACAGCTATTCTTAAATTAAAATTGAATTCTTTTTTATTTTGTTTCTCTTTAGATGAATTAAATTTGTGATATCACTCAATAAAATTTATTAATTAATAGTTCTTATTGAATAAAAATGGGGATTTCATTTTTTTTCTCTCTCCAAATGATTTAAATTCCTATGACACCACTCTTAAAATGAGGCTTTTTCTTTTGTTTAAATGATAATTATGAATACTAAATTTAATCCTAAGATGCTATAATTAGTAAGACATTTATTAGTTAAATTAGTTGACACTCTTAAAAAACATATCTGAATGTGGATATAAGCTCTAAATTTATAGGTAAAAAAACCTCACACATTTTTATTTCTAGAATAATTTTATGCATTCAAAATATTAATTTAATGATGATGTATCATAAATATTTTATAAGAAAAATATGTACCAAAAATATTCAATGGATTTCTTTCACCAAACATCTCAATTCACACTTTAATGAACGCTGAAATACTAAATATATTTAGTGGATTAGAGGGCTAATATTGTGCCATTAACTAAATCATTAAATCCTTCTCATTGCAGTCTGAATCCCTATTTTTCCTATTTAAAGAAAAATGCGTTCTTTTCTCCGACATATATTTAAAGAGGGAACGCAGTGAGGCGGCCGCCACTGCACTGGCAAATATGCAAACAGCAGATGAGCGACAGCCGCCACCTCCAATGCCTTCTCTCCTCGCTGAGTCACTGCCGGTCCCTCGTCCACCTCCAGCAAATCCACGCCCTCGCCTCCAAGACCGGCCTCGACACCGACCCTCTCGTCGCCGGAAAGCTCCTACTCCTCTCCGCCGCCATCCTCCCCGACGCTTTGGACTATGCCCGTCGCCTCTTCTCTGTCGTCCCTTCTCCCGACCCCTTCATGTACAACACCCTCATCCGCGGCGTCTCCGACTCCGACGAGCCTCCTCACCACGCCTTCCTCCTCTACTCCCGGATGTGCCGGCAATCCGTCGCTCCCGACAGCTTCACCTTCGCCTTCCTTCTCAAGGCGGCCGCAAACTCCAAGTCCCTCGTCCTCGGTCGGCAGGTTCATTCTCATTCCGTCCGTCACGGCCTCGATGCCCATCTCTTCGTTGGGACCACGCTTGTCAGCATGTACGCGGTGTGTGGCCGCGTGGCTTCCGCTCGGAAGGCGTTCGACGATATCCCCCAACCGAACGTCGTCGCCTGGAACGCCATCATCACCGCTCATTTTCGGGTCGACGACGTGACAAACGCGGAGAGGCTGTTCGACCAGATGCCTTGGAGGAATCTGACATCGTGGAACGTCATGCTTGCGGGTTACACCGGGGCTGGCGAGCTGGAAGCGGCGAGGACATTGTTTCGCGATATGCCTCAAAAAGATCCCGTCTCCTGGAGCACGATGATCATCGGGTTCGCCAGTCATGGGCATTTCGATGATGCTTTTGGCTTCTTTCGGCAGTTGCTGAGAGAAGGGCTTCGGCCAAACGAGGTGAGCTTGACCGGCGTTCTCTCAGCTTGTTCTCAAGCTGGGGCCTTTGAAACTGGAAAGATTCTACACGGCCATATGAAGAAGTCAGGGCTCAGTACCGTCACCGCCGTGGCTAATGCTCTCTTGAATGTCTATGCTAGGTGCGGGCGCATCCAAATGGCATGCCAAGTTTTTGATCGGGAGATGGGAAAGAAGGGCATTGTGTCTTGGACTTCTATGATCGCAGCACTCGCAATGCATGGCCATGGAGATAAGGCCATCAAGCTTTTCAATGAAATGGAGGAACATGGACTGAAACCTGATGGAGTTATATTCATCTCCCTCCTCTATGCGTGTAGTCATTCAGGATTGGTAGAACAAGGGTACCATTTTTTCCATAGAATGGAGGATGTATATGGAATCAAGCATTCGATTGAGCACTATGGTTGCATGGTTGATCTCTATGGGCGAGCTGGGCTACTGGATGCTGCCTATAACTTTGTGATGAGAATGCCTATAGAACCTAATGCCATAATCTGGAGGACATTGCTTGGGGCCTGCAGCATTCACGGAAATGTTGGTTTAGCTGAGCTTGTGAAGAAGAAACTCTCAGAACTCGAGCCTAGAGATTCTGGTGACTATGTTCTACTGTCCAATATTTATGCAGTTGCCGGTAAGTGGAAGGATGTTGCCAATATACGCAGATCCATGAACGAAGAGAGTGTTAGGAAACGCCCAGGTTGGAGCTCAATAGAAGTTGACAAGGTTCTGTACATGTTTGTCGCAAATAATGAGTGTTGCAGTGTGAAAGAGGAGGCTTATGGGAAGCTGATGGAGATATTGTCAAGACTTAGGAAGGAAGGTTACATTCCAGAGGTCACAAGTGTTTTGCATGATATAGAGGAAGAAGAGAAGGAAGATGCCATTGCTCAACACAGTGAGAAGCTTGCAGTGGCTTTTGGGATGGCAAGGATGAGCACGGGAAGTGTCATAATGATTGTCAAGAATTTGAGAATTTGTAGGGATTGCCACTTGGTGATGAAGCTGATATCAAAGGTCTACGAAAGAGAGATTGTGGTGAGGGATCGTAGCCGGTTTCATTCTTTCAGAGAGGGGTTTTGTTCTTGCAGGGACTACTGGTGACAGAAGCTTTCATTTCATCCCCAGAACATTCCAAGAACAAACTGCAACCTAACTCTGTTCTTGAAGAAAATCATTTCAGTGGGAAGGAAGCAATAGGTATTGTTCCCATGTATCACTGATCATGCACAATAGAAATATAATCAAATTGTTAAGATTTTGACTTTGTTGTGGATACTGTAATCAATTTTGAGATATACTGAAACTTTAGTCAATATTTTGACATAATTTAGCTGTAGGAAATTCCATTGCACGAAATTCTCTGCCCGATCATAAGAGGTTGTAAAAAAAATTTAGAATTTGATAACATAAATTTGAAGAAAATAATAAGTGTAGAAAAAGAAAGATGATCAGCTGCACAAGTTATGCTTGGCTGAAAAATAATTAGGGTCTTATGCTGATAAATCTCATAAATTGGACAGGGTGAGCCTTACGTTATATTTTGAGTTTATCTGAACTGAATAGTTCAGGTGAATTTTTCAGTAATTTTAGCACAAATGTAAAGGCTTGATATTTGTTTGCACGTTTGTGTTAACGGAGGTTCAAATTCAGGTTTACCAAGCATGGCCATCTTTATAAGATCAAAATTGATGTAGGTTCAACTTATCTTTATAAGATTTCACTTCTCTGTTAAATATCACATTTTTTATGCAGAAAATAGTTGCATATGCTCTTATCCATTTCTTCTTCCAGCTTATTTAAGTACTTTGCTTCTTGATTGCTGTGAGCCACATATGGCTAATTACTTGTTCAGTTACAGGGAGACCGATAATGTGGATGGCTGCAGGATAACGAAGAAGAGGATGATATTGAAATCTAAGTTGATTACCATTTCAGTTTTGTGCATGTGGGCATTGACAATGGTTCTTGTAGCATATGCAATATAAAGCTTAATAGTCGAAGAAGAGACGGGAACTATGGGGTGCTTCCTAGCTGTTATCACATAGATGGGTCAGATAAAAGGTCCTTACCAATCTGTCCCACAAGTTTAATATGAAGTCTAGAATTGTGTACTGATAACTTTGTTAGTTGTATTTAACTATTCTGACGAAATAATATTGTGGAAATTTCGGATGATGTTAAGTCAATGAATTACACAGGTCTGTTATCAGATCCTCATAAGTCATTCTGCTTGCAACTCAACTTAAAGAAGTCTTCTTACTAGTATTTGTTGTCTGTTGATTTCACATTGTAATTACATTCTTGGCTGTCTTTAAATCTACCATGTGCTATTTTTATCTGCTCTATAATTGTATTGGATTGTTCATAAGTTGTAACCTAGTATAGGAATCATGTCTCAGAAATAATTGGATTATTATTGTTGCTGTTGTCAATTAGGTGCCCTAATTTCTTCTGCTTCCCTGCTACTCCCCCTTAATTGTTGTGGCCCATTGTTAGCTTCTTGCTGTGTATATGAACTGATGGAAGGCCACATGTGAAGCATGGTTACTTGGTGAAATCTCAATTGTCCCACAATTGTGTATGCTATACTGCTACAGTTATGATCCTGCAAAGATAGGAAGCAGCAAAGCTTGTGATGTCCCACTCCATTGTTCTGCATCCATGCTAGACTTGCTTGGTCTCTTCCTCAGACTCCTTCCTTCCTTGGGATACCAAGCAAGAGAAGACAACCAGCAGTGACTCAGAAACAACAGTTTGGATCTGATCTAGTGAGAGGTAAATTCCAAGGACTGACCTGCACTGGGCTCTGGCATTGACATGGTTATACATGCACATTAGGGTTCCACCTCTTAACCAAATGTTATTTTCTATTATATATATGCACAAAAATAACAATGATAATAACAAAATCATAGAGCCTTAATTATTTGACATTGATATATGCATTTTTTTTAGTCATTTTAGATGAGTACTTAAATCTTTATTTATATTTTTTTTATTTTTTTATATCATTAATTTTAATTATCTTACCTCTTTTAACTATAGATCTCAGTGTTATATATAATATATATAATTAATTAATTTTGTCCTAGTGTAAAAATCAATTGATATCATAGACTAATATTCTTTGAAATAAGTCTTATCAATCATTGATTTTTCCATTCGATTGTTCTATTGTGCGAATGATAACATTGAAAAAAGAAAGAAATTGATTTGTTAATTGTTATCCTTGAAATTAAAATAGAAGTCTTAGCTGAGTGCATGGACAACACCTCACATAAATTGATTGATAGCGACGGAGCAAATCCTTAAGAGGTTTCCATCAATCCTACTCGATTGAGGTCGGGTCGTACGTTTCGTCGTGTGCGATAAGATGAGATGGCATCACGTGAGGTGGGGTCGTACGTAGCCGAACAGTGCTTTGGATACGGCTCGAGGGATCCACAGTTGACACCTGACGTTTCTCCCAGTCAACATAGTGTATCAGACAGCCAACAAGTACTTCAAGCATTTAACCCTCCAAGTATCATTGCTAATCAGACCACAAAAAAAAAAATCCTCCTACCAGCAACGATCGAACATAAAATATTCAAAATAATTTTTTTTTAATAATAAGGATTAAAAAATTAATAATTATTAAGATTGGAACATTCTCACCTTCACGTTCATTTAAATCTATTCGAGAATCCGACTTAGGTCAGATGCATATCAGATGGCCTAAATGACTCATAGCGTAAGATGAATCGAGATCAATCGAGTTGGTCAAGTATTTCACATCGATTATCGATCTTTTGTCCGTATCGAAATCTATCTTAAGTTAGGATTTAAAATTTTATTTTATAAATTTTTACGTGTGTGTATGTAGCCCCGACTCACTTATCATAAGTTAAATATTTACATTTTTATTTTATAAAATTTTAAAACTTTTATCTAGTTTAACTAATAAAGATGTTAAATCATTACGAGATCATGCAATCAGATCAAAACTTACTATTATCACTTATCATTTATAATAATAATAATAATAATAATAATAATAATAATAATAATAATAAAATCGAGAATCAAATCATGTCTTATGCTCTTGAACGAAAATTCTATGCAACTAGTTTTTCCTTTATCATCCTACAAATTTATTAGCTCTTCAAATTCATATCTAATTTGGTATATTCGACTAACGTTAAAATCTTTATCCTATATGTAATCAACTATTCAAAGTCAAGGGTTTGAATCATCATCCTAATATTATTTTACGAATTTATTAGTCAATTCAGCTCATAAAGGGCATGTCCACCAATAATCAAACATAGATAAAAAAAAAAAAAGTAATTTAGGAAAAGGTGGAAGAGTAAACAAGGAGGTCTTATGTATGATCATAAGGAATGCTATAAAACCCTTTTGTCCACTAACCTTCATTAAGCATATTCATTCTTATTTGAGTAATATATATCATTGGTCTATCTTATCAACACCATTAGATATGAGTTACATCACCATAAGAAACTAGGATTGGTCTGTTGTTGATACTCACAATGAGACTTATGCCCTTGTCATCTTGCGAAACACTTTGAGATGCTCTCAGGCCCCAAGAATTTGAAGCATACTCTTCCCTTTTTACCAATATTATTGTCTTATAACACAAGTGAAGTGGAGTTGTATCACTATAAGAAAGTGAGATCAATCAAGTATTATGTCTGCCAATTAGAGCTTAGGATGTTTACTAGGTCCAAGCATGAATCATACTCTTTCTTTTTTAGCAATATTAGATGTGGGTTAGATCACTTTTGCAAACCATGTATAGGTAAAGATCCCTTGATCGAGCACCACTTCAAGCCAAAAGATCATGTTATTAGATCATAAGGTCCCTACCATGTGCATGCATATATATATATATATAGTAGTTAGCTTATGCCTTTTAAGGTGTTAAGCATGCTCTTGAGAGTGACCAAAGGGTGCAAGAGAGAGTAAGAAAGGATTAGAGGACATGATAATACTAGTAACCCTAAAAACTTTAGCAAAGCTTCACATTGTAATTGCTTTAAGCCATTCAAAGGAGTATTTGATTGCCCCATTTATTTCTCTTTCTATATATAAATTATATATTGTAGTCAGTAGATACACAAATTTACATGCAATTGAGTCAAAAACAGCTCTTTCTTCTATATTTCCACAACACTATCATTTGCTCGGAAGGATTAGGCAAAGAGAACATACAATCACATAGCACCAATAAATTGAACATAATCTTATCTTTTCACATGTCATGTATGATTGCAACGAAGATGGTACAATTCAACACAAACGAAGTTTGGTGTATTGTCCATCCAATCTCTAAACATGGAAAGTGGTTGTGAGAACATGAACAAGACATTTGTACTTTAGGTTGTCACTTCATTTCTTGTGTTAGGGAGGAGGGAAGAGAGCATCATGGTGGAGGCCGGAGAGGGCCAACCACCATGAAATATTTGAATGATCTAATCTATAGTCTAACTAAGAGCTAATGCTTTGGGTATGGATGCCATGTATGTGTTTTTGGGGACACTCCTTGTCCTTGCCAATTCCTGGTTTAGGATTCTGGCTCTGAGATGTGAATCCAAGAATGATTATATAAATATTTTTTTATTTGTACATATAAAATTAGAATGTTATTTTAGATCACAAGTAGGACATTACAACGATAATAAATTCGATAATCCTAACTATTCAAGATAGGTTATACGAATTTTTTTATTGTTATTTGAGTTTCGTAAAAAGTATATAGTTAAATTAAGAGCTCGTAGATTTTTATTTATAGTTTATAATTAAGTTTGTTAGGTTTCTTTTGTCTCTCATCGTGTCACTAACATTAATTATTTCAACAATAATATCTTAAATAAGTTCTATCTTTCTTTATTTATAATTAATGCTATATTCAGTTATTCATAAATAAAAATATTTTTTCATATATTTCTAGTAATTCTACACATCCATCATCATAATTGCACCTCATAACATAAATTTTTTGTTTATGTAATATCAGGACAAAGTTTTCAAAGAAAGATAAGTTGAAATGGAGATTTAAAAAAAACTATTTAGAATTTATATTTTTTTAGTGATTAGCTACAAAACATGACAACAAAAAAAACTGATGACTTTTGCTATGATATTTTCATGAAGTTTACAAATGTAACATTAGTTCCAATTGACTAACATCTTATCACAATAAAATGCAATGGTGAACATTTTACCATGACCATAAAATGCTAACACCTTCAAATAAAATCAACATATAAATTGATGATTTTTAAAGATCAGTTAAAAGTCTTGAACTTGTTTGATTCAGTGACTCCTTTAGAAGTCATAGATTTCTAACTCAAGACATTAAAGAGATGATGGAGTAGGTGTTCTAAGTAAGCAAACAAAACTTGATGGCGTTAGGTGCTCATCTTTGTTCTGCCCTCCACAAAACACTCCCATGCATAATTAAGAATCCAATTAGATTAGCCTTCTTTAGATAGAGTACTTTTGAGTGTGCCTAGAGATTCACATTTGACCTTTCTAGTGATTAATCCTCTAATTAATCAAACACTTGGCCATTGCATGGACATAGCCAGCCTTGCAAAGCCAAGACAACTTTAACTATTCATGCAACCTTCCCCTCCACAAAGTCTAATCATTCACCAAACCACTTCTTTAGACCTTAAGGTTCATCTCTTTATCTATTTAATGCTTGTTAGTGGATCATGTCATGACTAGCTGTTGTCATCTCATGATCTTGGTCAGGACATTTCATTTAATTTGGTGCATGTCAATATCAGATGCCAAATTTATCAATAAGAATCATGCTACCAAAACTTTAAGTTAAATCATTGCAATGTGCATATTGATGTTGATTGATGTCCTTCAAGTACAGTGTCTACTTGTCTATCTATCACCATCACTCACTACTACACATCCCATCATGTGTGTTTTTAGACCCCTCCTCAATCCTAATCTTAAATATCCAAACTTCAATTCCCATTAATAAGCTTCAAATCATCATCAATTCTAGTTGTAGGGCCAAGTAATGCATGGGATGAGTTTTAGGAATGCTATTAAGAAAAGCTACAAAAAAAAAAAAGGATTTATGTTTGGATTGTTTTCTCTCAATACTAAATAATATTAATTAATAAGTAAAAGTTATACATGTATATACTGTAAATGTTTAGCAGCCATAAATTAGTATTTATTAATATTGTAAAGCATATTAATGATCT